TTGCTTCGGTATATTTTGTTTCATCCAAAGGGCAATTTATCGACAGCTTGACCAAAAAAACAGGGGTGTCCTATCCATGTGGCGCGCACTGTATGCTACACTGCTTCACTTCGATGGCAGCATGATGCGATGCGTTGGTATGGGGTCGACTGGCAACAACAACGAGGGAGACCACAAGAGAGGAGGTGTGCCATGCCATATTTAACTGCTTACAGTATCTGCTCGATTCGCGGCCAAACTTTGCTGGAACGTTCTTCATTACCGAACTACACACTCGGTGTACGCAGCTTGAACGACCACAGCGTCCGACCAGACATGCTCACCAACTCCAAACGCACAACGTTTGTATCGATGTTGCGGGCAACCATGCCCTGGCCAGGCAAGGTAAGCCAGACTGCTCGTTTCGAGGAGAATCGACATGTGCCAGGCATCGCCCAGCCGGCACGTCCAAATGGACTATTGCTGCGATTACATGCTCAAGACTCCGCTTCATGCATGCAACCGCGTTGATCTCAACCCTTAAAAGCATTTAGAACAACTTCCGTTCCAGGGCTCAATTGTGTATACCTGAGCGGCCCGTCTATCGATACCTCGACGGGCAACCTCATGCTTGCGGCCCTTCGTAGGTAGCGGTGCTCGAGCTCGCCTAGTCAGTTCGCGCCAGTTTGTGATGTAGTTCAAAGTGACCAACGAACGAAAGGACCTGGTGGTTATTCTATCAAGTTAGTGCACCAAGACAACGCGTGGTGTGGGCAGCTCGTACCAGGCGGCGCCCTTTTCAACGCTTTTGCCGCTGTATCCAACGTGGTTGATGGCACGAGCACACAGTCCGATATGGAGCCCACCACCGCCATCGCCAGTTTGGTCAAACTCGCGACGGAGAAGGCTGCAAGTGTCATTCAAACAAAAGTTGCTTTCGACAGCGACTCTTGGGTGGGAAAACACATCGTTGAGAAAAATGTTCCGGTTGGCACGATGAAGCCAACACTGTCCAAGATCGTATTGAGGGGCGCGGCCGACGCAAACCAGAAAGGCGACGACAGCCACCTTCCCATTACGAGGAAGTCGTCTCCCATGCCCATGTGTACCCCTCTGCTTTGCTTGTCGACGGGGGCTTCATGTGGCCGTGAGGCCAAACTGTGAGCGCCAGCACAAACGTCATCCATGGAAGGTCGTCATGGCCAAGCCATTGCCACAGTCGAGCGACTCAACCCCCAGGACCACGGTGGCCAGGGTATCACAAACGACCCGACGCTGGCCTTGACGATGAAGCCTCGATGGACTACCGAAAGCAGCCAGTGCGACCCCACCAAACGGCCCGAGAGCGCGCCCCCGAGGCAAGGGTTTCGTTGGGTGAAGGCATTTTGTAAAACACTTCCACGTCCCCGTGTCGACAAAGTGGAATAGCATAAACGACCACAGGATGCGGTCGGCAGTGATGTGGAGGGCAGCGATGTTCGGCGTGGTGCTCCACCTGGTTCAGTTGGTAGCATCCCCCAAGCTGTATGTCGACAACGTGGCATAGACCAGTCCTACAAACAGCGACATGGATGGCATGCCGAGGGGAATTGAAAACTGAACCAAGGGGAACGGCATCATTGCGAAAACACGTCGGACGCGCTCTGCTACAGGACTCCCCCTAGGGCGTGCATGCACATCCTCGATGGTCATACTCGGAGCATGGTCCACCATCAAGTAAGACAGTCGACGCAATGGATGACTCCGTGCACTTGGGGCCAGCAATTGGCGCTTGGAACCACCTGCCACTTGCTTCGATTCATCCCTACCTCATGGGCTCGCCATCTACCGGTGGCATTGCACATGGCCCGACTTGATGGACCGCCAATTATGACGAATGGGTACCATAGACCGCCCCCACCAAGAGCTCCCAGCCCCTGGTATATCCAAGCCTGCTACCCGGCCTTACGCCGAATAATGTCGACCCGCGGCCCGGCATCGCGTTTGGATTGTGTCCGTGCGCTTCCATCGTGAATGCGTTTGCACCGTTCGTTTATTCCAGGGTGAACTGAAGCGGTCTAGAAATGGAGTCATGACGGCGCGGTGAATGCTTGGACCCGCCGCCGCACATGTCCGAGGACGTCTTGGTCCAGTCGAGCTTGTGCTTCTTCGGCTTTCCGTCGGCGGTCCGACTCTTCTACCAGGAGCTGCAGCTGCTTCAAAATGCCATCTCGATCGATCCGACCGTCATCGCTCGAGTCGGTCGTGGGATGAAAGCATTCGCTGTCGTTTGGAGTGCTGCTAGAGCGACTCGGTTCATGCGATTCGTGCAACAAGACAGATGGATCCGGCGGCAAGTCAGCGGCGATGGAAGACCTTCGCGACATCGTCCCGAAGCTGTCGTGCCACGAAGACGCGAGCGATGGGGCGTTGTGTGAGTCGGTCATGTCGTCCAGCGTCATGGGGCGGAAATGATGGAGTTCTTGCTCCAGCCGATCAATTGTGCGGCTTTGTTTGTCCAGCTGATCTTGAAGCAACTGAATGTGCTTGGTATACTTGCGCGTGAGCTGCTGCACGTCGGCTGTTTGCAACGCTTCGACTTGACTCTGCAATGCCTCAATTTCCGCATCGCGGCCGGGCTGTGCTAGACGTCGGCACTCCTCTTGTAGCTGGCGCTCCACCGCCGCCGCATTCTGAACGTCACCCGATCGTTAGATTTGGCATGTCCATTCGAATAGACTACGGAAGCTACCTTGACCAACTGCTTCAACTGGTCCACTTGGCAGTCTTTTTCCGCGAGCTCATTGCGCTGGTTCTCCACGAGTGCTTCGAGCTCGTCCAGCCGCTGGTGCAGGTCGTCTATCTCCCGATGGCTCTTCTCGTTGGCTTGTACTTCGACCGCCAGTTGGCTCTGCGCCTCGTACAGCTGCCGCTCTTGGGCGGTATGCAGGCCTGAGATCTGAGCAATATACTCATGTAAATGGTCCCTGACAGGCAAGCATGTCTGGTCAGTGCGCGTCGCCACGACGATGCGATCTCGTACCGCTCCTTCCGACAGCTAGACATGTGCGCATCGAGCTCGATCTGCTTGGTGTGGGCCACATGCTGGGCTGTTTGAAGTAGACGATCCTTTTCGTGCAGCGCTTGCACATTCTGTTTAAGCTGGAGGGTCATTTCCGTGAGCTTCTCGCCGCGGAGCGACGTGATGGACGGCGTCACGTCCAAGTCGTACGACGCGTGCTTTCGACAGCAGTTGTGCCACAGCTTATGTGTCTTCTTGCCTTTGTGGTGGAGCAACTCGTTGCGTTCCTTGACGACTTCGCTTGCGTACTTTTCCACAAACATCCGCTTCTCCTCTTCGTCGTGCGCGCGTTCTTGCATGAACTCGAGCGATTGGCGGACTTGGTCCAGTTCCCGGCGCAAGTGTTGGTTGTACAGACGAAAGTGCGTGGAACTCAGTTCCATGGACGTGTACTGAGGCATGATGCTGAGCACATAGCTCAGGAGTCGGTGGGGATCGCTACTGGGAGGCACTGCCGCCAGACCAAACGCCGTCGTGTCCTGGTGCTGCATTCAACCCACGTTTGAAATGAACCAATCCCAACACGTCTTGAGTCCACGAAGCGATCTGATTGGCCATTTCTCCATGGCCCATTGTCATCGCAACGTTTCCTCGGGAGCGCTCCGATGGCCGTTGCGTCGGCCCTCTGTCCACCGCATGCCATCTTGCGACTGCCGCGTTGGCGTTGAGAGCAGGAAATTGTTGTAAGATGAATTCCTTACATCGGAGGCGAAACACCCACGTGAGCGCATTGGCACTTGCAAGCATCGTCACCCAGGAGCGGGACCGTAGGGTGGCTCCCTTCGCGTAGATGAGTTGTTTTGCTGCATTGGCGAGGAATTGTTGGAGTTCATGGCATAGGTTTGCATGTCCAAGGGCCCTCGGGGCGCGCCGTTTATCGTGATGAAATGCCTCGATCCCCTTTGAACGACACGACGCAGGTGCAGACGAATTCGCGACTGCGTGTCGTGCCATCGATGGAGCGCGGCGTAGGCAGGTGACAAGCAAGTCCAATCGAAAGCACCATGGAACACGTACTCGCTCGATTACTAGTTGGACGTTACCAGGTTTCCGCGTGGAGGCGGTAGAGCGCCGCGTAGATGGCCGACAGGTACGTCGCGTCGAAGGCACCGGTGGGGTGTTGGTTTGGGACGGTCAGGACCAACGGGTCGCGATGCAATTCCGTCAAAGTCGCCACGACTTGAGCGACGTCGACCGTCGCTTCGATCTCCTCTGGCGGCGCATCGAGGACCAAAACGACCTTGGCCTATGTGCACACAAACCATGACGACCGCCGCCCGATTTTTGTGTTCGATCGATCGTGTACCACGTCAGGACGAAGTAAGGAGCGCAGGATCGCTTGGGATGGCAGCTCCATCGTGCGGTGCAACACGAGGAGTGTCATGGCATTCGGCGTGTGTTCGAGAGTCGGGAGCAGGGTCAAGTTGTTGCTCAAGTACGACACAAACGGAGTCGTGGCGCTCGCTGGTTGCACGTACTGCACGTACTGGTCATTCCCCTGGCGCCACCTGCCACTCGTCGTGAGGTCCCGCAGCCATCCATTCGTGTCGACGGCGGCTTCGGTGTCATCTTGATAGATGTACACGTGTACGCCGTGTTGGAGTTGCTGCGAAAACGTCGACAAGGCAATGGCCGCCCTGTTCGTGCGGTCGCGGTGACGAAGCCGCGATTTGAGTTGGCGGACTGTGCGCTTGAGTCCCTCGTACAGCAAGCGCGGGACCCCGATCAAGACACATCCTGCGATGAGGACGGCACCCGCGACGGCGCCCCCAGCCACGACGACTGGCGCTGCAATCGTTTTGGTCAGAAATCGCACGGGCCACACCGTTCCCCAATAAGGCGAATCCAGCAATGCCACAGCTTGACAGACCTTCCTGCTGTGACTTGACCAACTCCACCGACAAATCCAGCACCACTCGTGGCGACACTTTGTACACGTCATGTGGTTGCACCCGTCGTTCTTCCAGATCCGAACTCCACAGCCAGGACACGGCTGGACGTAGTTGCTCGTGGCTCGTTGGCGCGCCTCCCATGCTCGATAGTGCGCGTCCATCGCCTACACGATGCCCATCGTGAGGAATATCTGGACGGGCGTGGACGTACTTGGTGGCACGTGCGAAATGGATGGCTGACACTGCCGCACTTGAAGCATCCTTTTGTGTGACAAGTCGTGCATTGAAAGGTCGGCAGAGTTGGATCGCAATCGATCATGGCGTTGCAATTTGGCCTGGGACACCACCGCCCGTGCGGCATGCGTTCAAACTAGCATGCCACGACAGCCATGTGAGTCGAATCCGATGATGGCCACACAAGACCTGATTCAGTTGCACAAATCGCATGTACTTGAGAAATGTTGCTTCAGTTGTGACGTGGAGAATGCTCTCGACCGTGAGAGGGGTCTGGCATTCCACGATCGGACAAGTCAGTTGATCTAGCAAACCCACATCGTCGGCGGCTGTGTTGAAGAGATGGAGGAGGGACGTACCTGCCTCAACTTGGCGATCGTCGACTTTCTTCGCGACGTACGTCTTGATGCAGTCTATGGATCACGTTACAGTGTTGTCATGGGAGCCCCCAACTGTGCCCCCACCGAAGCAAAACTCGTGGCTGCACGACAGAGTAAAGCTGCTTGGCTGCGTTGGGACATGCTCTCCAGCAGCGTCCGCAGGACGGCGGGTTGACGGAGCTGCGATGAGATCCAAGCAAATTGCACACGTCACTGGTTTGGGCGATGGCTCCATGTCGACCACGACCAGCTCGCCATGGGGAAGACCGTCCTCCTCCATGGCGTCGCGTCCAGGCGCATCCTCTTGTAGAGACGATGGCTCATACGTCGACAGCAAACCTGCACATGGATGCAGGACATCTTGCGTGCGGTACGCCAACATGGACGGAAGTTGCGTTGTGGCGACCGGCTCGCCGACTCTGTTCGTTTTTCGAAGGGCAAGGGGACAATCACTCTCCATGTTGGTTCGAACAGGACATACATTCATGAATCGTGCTTGGAGTGCATCAGGCGCAGCCCCCGTTCGAGGAGTGCTCAAAGGAGATGTTGGGGGAGGGAGGCGGCTTGCCCGCATGGATCCTGCACCGCCACGGCAACCTCGCCGCCCACTCAGGATGACTCTGCATGACGTGGCAGACCCACAACCCGACGACACGTCAGCCAATCGTATTTGTCCAGCGCACCCCAGCACACTTCATGTAGAATGGGATCGTTGAATGGGTCAAAGCAGTCGTGCGCGTCGATATCTCGGAGCAACATGGATGAGCTTTATGAACACAACGAGAATATTTGTACCCTTGCATCCTGGATAGCGCTTGTTGCCGATGTGGCGGTTGCAAATGCAAGGGGAGGTAGCATGTAGATCTCCTTCATCGTGATGTGGGCGGATACTTACGAGAACGCGGGTGCGTCCTTGTAGGGCAAGCGCATTGTGATGCCATTGTGCGGCGGGAACATCGACACGAGTGTGCTGGGCCGCGTGATCGAGCGCGGGATGGCGGCGGACGGACGTCTCGTGCGATTCGTGGCGACGGTGCCGGACCGACCGGGCGGAGTCGCTGGCCTGGCCAACATGTTGAGCGAAGTCGGCGTGAGCGTCAAGGACATTTACCACGAGCGCGCGTGGCTGCACTCGAGCGTGTCGATGGTCCAAGTCAAGTGCGTCGTTGAAACGTCGAGCTACGAGCACGGCATGGAGCTGAAGGCGCGGCTCGAGCAAGCGGGGTACCCCCTCTTGTGGGGCAACGAAGCTGCTCGCATGGGCGAGTAACTAGTCAATTCACGGGCCAAAAGACTTGATGTTTTTACACTCCCGAGGTGGGTGTCCAGACCAAACTCTTCGCAGCCAGACAGACACATCCGAGGTCTTGGTGTAGACAGCTGAGCTTTTTCTGAAAGTTGGATGCACATGCTCTGTGGACTGCGTCCGCGAGTAGATGAGGCGTTCGAATGCGCTGCATTGCGTGCTGGCCGTGCGTCGGTGAGCCCTTCCATGTGAGGGGGCTGGGCTCTCATTCCTTGGCCATGTCCGACCCATTGCAGCTGTAGCGATCGCTCGTTTGACGCTCTGGACGATCTCACGCGCTACATCGTTCGTGTATTGATGGCAATGTAGCGGTCGTGCGCAGTGCAGTTCCCACAACGTCATCGAGGTCTCTTTCATTGCAAAAGGGGTTGATTTGGACGAGTTGTTACTTTACGGCGCTGAGTCGCCTTGGCTAGCCTCTCCCGATCAAGTTGTTCGCCCCATCTCGAGCCCCGCGCGCCAAATCCCGAGCACGCTTCGCCCCAGCTTCAGCAAACGCGGCGACAGCTTGGGCTTGCCGAGCTCTGTCGCGACCGACTTCCATGTGCGCGGCGCCGTTGCCAGCAGCTCGCCCGACGGCACGGACAAAAGCATTGTTGCCGCGTTTGTCGGCTTTCTTTT